TTTGACAACCACCCACATAGATATACATGTGTATACACAGACATATGTGTATATATATATACACATGTATATACCCCTAAAGATGTAGGGTGCCCCCCCACCCAATGAGGGATTCATGTGATGTGATTTTGAGAATCCCCCGCACGTTTTAGTGTTGAGGGTTTTCTCAGGCCTATAACATGTTTTCAAGGGACGTGATGCCTTCCAGGAGAAATTGGCGCTGGGCCAGTTTTAGCACTAGTCTCAGTATTAGTATGTGTTTGAATATTACCTGTACCCCAAACTAAGTAAAACAATTGGGGCTCAGGTAGTGCTTATTAGTATGTTAGTAAGCAAGAGGTTTTATCAAGCGCCTAGACAATTTGTCCTTCCAGTCGCCCTTTCCCTACCCTAGGTGTATTTCTGTTGGTGCGAGAAATCCATGAGAAGATCCCCCAATAATCCCTCAGACTCTGTGATCCTGGCGGTACTCCCGGAGAAACTATGTAAAACTTCACGGAACTCTCAGTGCTGAACGTTAAAAATCTTGGACTCCATGCACCAAAGCACCAAGCCTGCAAGGAAACCCGATCCCACGAAGACCCTGTGAGGTTCCCGAAATCCCAAACCTGAACCCACCCGAAAATTTCTACAGCCCTCAAATCCGAAAAGCCTTGACCCTAAACATCCCGCACAACCCCTCCCACGAAAAGCCATTTCATGTCTTACACATCCGACATCAGCAGGGTCCCAATCACCTTAAACTCTCGGAACAAAACCCTTTGCCACAAGCACTGTAAGCCCTGCGCCCTACGTTAAGCTTTGAGGAGCCTGCAGAAGCTGCTGCTCCACCCTCCTTCCTGGGCCTCCCTTCAGCCGCTCGGGTTAAGGGTTTTTGGGCTCAGGGTTAGAGGTTTGGAGTCTTGGGACTTGAGTGCAAGGTTGGATTTTGGGGCTATGGTTTTGGAGTCCATGACCCCTAGACCAAAAGCCTGCTTGGCACATAGCTTCAGGGCTTCTTTCTATGTGGGTGTAGGCACACCTGGTGTTGTATCCAGGTTTTGAGGTTCGGGGGCTGTCGCGCCGTTTTTTTACTTATGATATTAAGGGCGGCTGCGGAAATTAGGTCGACTTGGGGTAACCTCGTTTCGGGCTATTTTGTTCTTCAGTGTAAGCAGCAGTAGCCTCATGTTAGAGAAGCCCCGTGAGAACTTTGAACAGCAGCCCAGGACCAGCATTTGGTCATGGTATGATATGCTGGAAAAAGTAGCAGTCACAACCCTGGAGTCGGTGCCGTTCGGGACAGCCCCAATCTTTCCCAAAGGATCGATGTAGGCTTCTGGTACATATACATATATATATACAAAGACCCTAAACCCTTAACCAGGAGAGTTAAAGGGATTCCTGTTCCAGTACGTTAGGGCCTAAGCTTGTTGCTGCAAACGCGGCTTCAGCATGAAACCCTAAACCCTAAATCCTAAACCCTAAATCCTAAACCCTGAATCCTAAAGACATTCCCTGCTCACTTCTTGGCGTATTCCAGAGCTACAGTGCAGCCGCAGGGCTTTGGGGTTAGAAATGCCCATCAAAACTGCAGACGGCGGAGCCCCGTCCCTTTTTGCCTGCTCTTGCCTTAGCCCCTGGAGACCGGGCCTGGTATCCCAAAATCTTCTTGTCAAGTTTTTGCAAGCCACGGAGGATTTTCAAATCGTTTGCTGCCTGCAGATGACGTCATGCGCACCCCAACCTAAAACCTTGAGCCCGAAAGCAACAAACCAGAAAGCCAACCCCAAAATCCTCAATCTTCAAACCGCAAACGTAGCCCCCTGAAGTCCAAGACATCCAATACCCTGAATCTCTAAATATCATACCCGCACCTGCAGACTCCACGCCTTCAGCTATAAAACCCGAAGCCCTAGATCTCTACAACAGACACACAAGGCACGTCCTACTTGTTGGTTCAGGACTTAGTGACTACTTTTAGCTGGGGTTAACCGTCCTTATAATTCAGGTAATCTATGTAGGTTTCGTCGGTTGCTTTTTAAGTTAGGTTAGAAATCTTCAAAGAGAGTTCATTCCACAAGCCATGGGCCGGAAACGTAAGCTTAAACCCTACATCCTAAATCTAACTAACCCTAAACCCTACATCCTAAATCTAAATCCAAAACCCTAAATCCCAAACCCTGAATCCTAAACCCTATAGCCCTAAGCCGAAAAGGCGGAAGGGAGCTCTGAGCAGCCAGCAAACGCATTTCTTTGGGCCGGCCGGCCCATTTAGTTGAATCTAAGATGCACAGGATCTAGAGTTCGGTACTTACCAAGTGAGGGTGGGGTTGGGGTTTGGGGCTTAGGGTTTAGGGTTGGGGTTCAAGAGCTAGGTGCGGATTGAGATTGTAGGGTTTAAGGCTTCCATGTCTCGAAGCGATCCAGGTACCTGCCAGCATACAGATATTTCAAGGACCAGGTACTTCCGGATGCGTTTTGGAGTCTGCGGGTATACGGGATGGAAGGCGGAATTTTTTGTAAGGACAGTAGCACTTGCAAGGCTGTACTCTGGACTTGGCGTGGGGAAATAGGGAGACGGGAGACATTGCAAACCCACGCATATATGTTGATTTGAGGGCCTTTGAGCAATAACTGCAGGAAAGGGAGCCCACCCGTCGATGGTGACTACTGGACCTAGCGTAAGAATTTGTGAAGTGATGGCCTTGTTATCTTTGAACTTGCATATCCACGTTCTAAGTACATCAAGGAAAGCAAGTCATCGCTGTCTGCAACTACCGGCTTCATAAGGGGACTTGTTAGCGTTTAGGGTTTACAGGGATCTCTAAATTGTATGATCCATCCAGGTTCAGGGACTTGGGGGTGGGGGTAGATGTTCTAGAAACCGCGAACTCTTCAAACAGACTTGGGGCCAATAGGCGCTCTCGAAAGGGTACCAAAAAACAACCCCAAACAAGGAACCTGAAACCCTAAACCCTAAACCCTAAAACCCTAAACCCATCGGAGCCTTGGCAGCCCAGGTTTGGGAAGATGCAGACTGCGCAGATGAAAACCTTGTCGAACCGAATCTGGAGGTTGTGTAGTGTAGGGGTCTAAACCTGTGGTTACATTGAAAATATCTGGTTCAGGGTTCAGGGTCATAGATAGTGACAATTACTGATTACCCAACATTATGGTCCTGGATTTATTGATGGTTCTGGTCTATAGGGTACCTCTGTTAATGGACCTCAACACATTTTTGGTAAGTTTTTTGGCCATTCATTTCTACATGAGTCCCTCGGTTGATGGCATAAATCCTGCGTCTCCGTCCTGTGGATGGAGGGCGTCTTGCACGACCTCATATACCTCATACCCTACAAATTACAGTACCATAGGCGCTGCAAGCTTTCATTCATGATGCCTTAGTACACATCTTCGTAGAGGTGGGTCGCGCAGGACTTCAACAATCACCATTGTTTATCCTCACATCAAAGGGTTTGTGGTATTATAGGCATATCCAAACGCACACCCTATCCTCCGATGTTTAAGCATGTCTCCTGATCCTACAGGCTCCCTCAAGCCCTAAACCGCGCACATCCACGAGTCTCCGCTAAGGTTAAAGGTAACGTCTCGAAACCTGAGTAATACATTCTTTCCGTGGTGATGAAAGGATTAGGTGTGTGGTTATACAGGGGAATGTCTGAATCACCGAAGCTATTCATGAGATACTATGAAGACAGCATGATTTTTTTGGAATAACTAGGTCTAAGAACTCCGGGTGGGGGCGGGGGGATGAAACATCTCTTGGGTTCTTAGTACATATAGGACTCAGGGCAAAGGACGTGCTGAAGTATAGAGAGCTTCCTGTGCAGGATTTAGGACGCCTAGTGTTAGATAGGTTTCAGCGATTCTGGCAGAAACGTTTTTGATTTTAGGGCCTGACCTGCGTGTTCCGAACTCTATTATACTTCAATTTACTACAATATATTATACTATAATGCAGTATAATATACGATCATAATATATTATAATATACTGCTGATACTCCGAAGTTGCAGCTCCAGATGCCTTATCTCACCCAATCCTACATGGATCCCTCTATGAGCTACTGTCAATTTAGGGCTTACCCAGGGACTACTAGGGGTGGACATGGGGGTCCCCTTGGTAATTAATTCGGAACAGTAAAAAAAATACTCCCTAGTAAGGACCCATGTTCATTAAAGCAGAAGGGAATATTGACTGTAGTAGCTAGGGTGGGTATTCCCAAACAACGTTTGGCGACCCCACTTATGGCCTTTTGTTTAAAGGCTTGTAGCTGTTGGAGGATGCTGTTGAAACCCTATGTGGAATAGAGTTGAATCTGCCCAACTTTCGCCAACTTGAGCGAGTCTCGGGTTAAGGGTTAAGGGTTAGGGTTGGGTTCAGGGTTTAGGCCTTAGGGTTTAAAGGAGATATCATCTGTTCTAAATCCGGAACCCCAAAGTCATCATTGCTTCAGAGACTTTTTGATAGGTCCTAAGCGGCAAAACAGCAGAACCCGGCGTTCGTCTCCAAAATTCCAGAAATTTGCGTAAGTTCGGGCAGTGTCTTCTTGTTTGTTGTGTCCCCGAGTTGATATGAATTATTGCTAGGGTTTAGGGTTTAGGGCTTAGGCGAATTATTAAGCCACCGTCAATACGAGCTTTGCGAAGAAAATCAAGCAGGTGTGGACATGGGGTCCTTTTAACTGTTTAGTACAGTCCCCAAGATAATCCCTAATAGGAACCCCATGTCCATTGATTTTATGGAAAATATTAACTGTAGCTCATATGAAAAGTCTGCGTGAACCTTACTTGGTTTGTTATACCGTGGGAAGTATGGCTTCAGTTTGCTATTAGAATACAGCGTTTTAGCGTTCACAGTAAGACCCAGTTCTACCAGTGAGAACCCGGGCGTTCCTATGCACCGTCTACTGGCAGTGCAGTCTCCCTTATGATCCACTTAGTAGCTGATAGTTATACCGAGGGCCAATTTAGACAAGACGGTTATGACTTTGGCAA